GCTCAGTTTTTGTAAGAGCAAGCATAAGTTATATAGAAGGATGAGTAAATAGAATTTTAAACTTGTTGATTAGCATTCATAGTACATAACTCTGAGATGAGAACTTCAATATTGTTTTGCTGCAGATTAATGCCAGGCTTTGTGCATGCTGGGTAAGTGCTCTACCACTGAGCTACATCTCCAGTCCTTTAATTTAATTTAATTTAATTTAATTTTGTGTATGTGTGTGTGTGTGTGTTTGTTTATTTTTTAATGTGGCGCTGGGGATTGAACTTGGGGCCTAGTGCATGCTGGCCAAGCACTCTACTATTGAGGTACCCGTCCCCAGACCCTCTACATACTATTAATTTATTATCTTTTGAATTCTTTACAGAGAATGCAGTGATGAAAACTCCCATTCTTGTTCTAGAGCAGGGCTTTTAACCTGGGGTTTGTGCATACACTTCTGAGAGTCCAGAAACTTGAAATTAATTATAAATATTAATGAGTACATATGCCTATCTTTGAGAAAGAGGATTGGTATCTTTAAACCATTTCTAGAAGGATTTGTGTCTGAATAAAAAATGAAAAAGACTGATATGAAATGTGGTTTCAGAATAGTTTAGACTTGATTTCTTATGATCCCATGGATATATCAGTCCTGATTGACTTGACAGAGAAATTTTCTTCAACACCATTGGCTGTTTATTACATTCAGATTGGACTCTTTTATGTGATTAGGTTAGGGCATCTGATAATATGGGAAAAGCAAATATTGGTGATTTGTGCCAATTCTCAATTCAAAACATGAACCTCTGCCTGTCTGTGTTATCAACTCAACATACATTTATTGAATTATATATGGTGGACTTAGAAAAAAAAAAAACTGGGGCCTATCACCTAGAGCTAAATTAACTTTCTTTTAGCCTCTTTCCCCTTTATTTTTTCATTGCCCCCCACCTTAAATCTTTCCATTTTGCTCCCCACTCACTTCCTGTGTATTTTATTCCTAATCCCCTTTTGCCTCCTCATTGTTGCCTATGGGTATAATGTAAATTTGAAGTATATTAATTGCTTTGTAAAAGCATT